TTATAATTTTTTGAATATGTTGTTATGGCCTACGATATTAGAATAATAAAAACTTTGCAAAGCGGGTCTATTTCGGTGGCATACAGACTTTTTGAATTAACGTAAAACTTTTAAAATAAAAAAAATAATACATTTTAATGTACTGAATCTAAAATCTGAACTAAAATCTAATGCCACTGAAGTAACAGAGTAGTTTTTATCATTGTTGTTTTTACTGTTTTTATCTGTAGTAGTATTATCACCGTCACTACTATCAAAGTCACTAATTATCTAACTAAACTTCTACGTCCAGGTGTCTAAGGTGGTAGGTATTCTGAACGATTCAATTACGAATAGCTCAAATTTTCTGCTCAACGAACCATCACAATCACTCATTTTAATGTTAGATAATAATAATAATAATTAACAAAATTATGTAAATCTGATGATTTTGGCTACTGTAGTATGAGCCCAAAGTTTTTGAATTTTTTGAAAATTAGATGCCTGACCCTAGATTTTACGCGTAAAACATAAACATCGCATTAACCAATCACACCGCGACTTTTAAACAGAGGGTTCCCCTTTAATAAACGAATTTTAAACGGGGGTTCCCCTTTTGTCAAGATATCAAGAAATTTCAAGATTTCTTGAATCAAGACAAGAAATCAACTCTCAAGAAATGATCAAGACAAGATTTTTTTTAATTCTTGAAAATATTTCAAGACAAGACAAGAAATTGCTTGTCAAGACAAGATTTCTTGTCTTGCCGATCCCTAATTTGCTAAAACAGTTTTATCTTATTATCTCGAAACAACGGTTTTGGGATAAGGCAAATTTTGAAACTTGACGCCTCATATAATGTAACAATCTTTATTATTTTATACTTGTCAGTATGTGTAAAAGCGGAGACAAAATTTACAAATGATAATTTCTTATTTTCTTCTTCGAAAAAAAGCAGAGCTTTTTTTTGCAGATACGTGCAAATCACGTCTGAAATTACCAGTCTGAAAAAGGTCTGAAATTACCATTCCTGTATTTTTTTCATATAAATAGTTAGTTGCAATATTAATTGCTAGCTGGGTTCCAAAAAAAAATTATATTGTTTGTTGTATCGTGTTTTGTTAAGAAGTAATTCTATACTTTTTATTTCAGCTCGGATAGTTCAATGTACAGCGATTTAGATCTAGAAAAATGCGATCTCGAAGTAATTTCGTCTTTCGATTTGAAGGATGACAGTGATAGTAAAAGTGGTGCTAGCGGTAGCGATCAGGTGGATTGGTCTGGATCTGTGGTGCCTGGCAAGGATCAAATTTTAGTAGGACTACAAGTAAGTAAATACATTAAAAGGTTAAATACTGAAGTAATTCACTAATACTTAATCCGCTCAATGACTAAAGAATCAAAGACAAATAACACCCGAGAGCAAATTGTGACGATGTCACCAAACAGTGCCGTGGCACATATTTTTCTTAACCTAGCTGTTTGAAGCAATATTTATATTTTTTGATAATTGTTTTGACTACGCCTATGGTGTATCATCCTAATTAATTACGAAAAAAACGTATTAAAATGTTAACAAAAGGTACAAAACTAGTATCGACGTATAGCACATATCAAGTACATATAGATGTTAATTGAAATTGAAGAATAATTATCGAATTCAATAAGAAAACGCTAAAAAGTTGGAGTGGACTGTTTATTTACCTATGAAACGTAACTCCTGGCTCTTTCTTATCGCTGCTGCTTTTACACTTGAAAGCTGAACAACTAATCACCATTGTAATAAAGTTTATACAAAGTTTACTACACACAAACTATTAAAAATCGCTAAAATTGTCGCTGGTGACCAAAGATGACTCATTGTTTCCCACCAAAATAAAGGTCTCTAAGGTCACAAATTCTGCTGCAGCCCGTATAGGGGGAGTTACATGTCCTTATATTCTTTTACTCATTGGTCCGCTCACATATTTTTGAAATTTTGTTTTGGAATTTTCAAATCATTTTTCTCTCTTTCACCTCGACATTGATTGTGCTGAATATGCTGCTAATGCTACTAATATTTAGTAATTGTTTATATTATAGGAAGAACTGAAACAGGCCACAAGGCAATTAAAATTGAAAGATGAAGAACTTGTGAGAGTCAATAGGATACGACAAGATGTTGAAGCTGAACTAGAAGACCTAACAGCTAGTTTATTTCAGGTAAGTGCAAAATTAAACAGCAGTTTTATTTAAATGTATTTTTTATTTAAATTTTTATTTAATTATTAAATTTAATTATTTTTAAATATATTAGGGATTATTGATAAATAATCATCAAATTGTATGATCTGCGTAATAATACTCTCATTGTCAGAACTTATTTTTGTTGCTTTACATTCTAAAATAATAATTTATAGTAGTTCATATAGAGTTGATATATTTGCACGCCTTGGGAGTAGCAAGGTGCAACAACAGTTTATTAAGTACCAGCCGCACAACTTGAGATATTTTACATTGGGTATGTGAATTGGGAAACAGCGGCTGGTGACACGCAGACTGTTAAAAGACTCGAATTTGAATATTAAGATGAATAATAAGGTGTGGTTCAGGATTCTATTCTAGAGCCGTATATTATAAAAATTAAGGAGCTAAAAATACTTTTGCGATATTATGCTATTCTGTAGTTGTTATTTAATAGTTAGTATTATTTTAAAATTTTATATTATTATATATATTTTTAAGATTATCGTAATGAGCTCTCGGATTGTCTATATCTTATATTAATGATAGCATTTTCTTTCAAAGTATGTTAATAATGACCGTACTTTAATTAACAGAACAAACTTTCATTAAATTTGTATCTCATATTCTTACGCATATTAATTAATTTTGTATTAATTAGGGTCCAACTGTACTGAATATTTCGCGATTATTTTTTACACTGCGAAATTTCACTTTCAAATAGAAACCGTGGGTCTAAATCAGTGATAGCCATGTGATAGCAGACAAGTCATAATGACAAGAAAATGAAAACAAAAAAAAACACTTGTTTGAAAGTATAAAGATCTTATTATTTTATAATAATAACTAATTAAAGATTCGTTTTGGACTTCTATTGCCTTTATTTATAATTATATTTATCAGTTTTAGCTACACCAAAATCGTGTGCTACTGTATAAAAAAAACAAAATTTCTTGAGCCAAGTATAGGTATGTCTACAAGTATGCATTAGTAAGCATGTGACCTTCTTGTTTTCCGTAGCCGGTTTAAAAGCATGCATGAAGTAGAAAAACAGACCTTTATTTTTTCACATATCATCATCATCATTTTCAGCTTAATCAACCATTTCCAATTATGGTGTAGCCTTCCTAACATATATAGAAATTATCTTTGTAGTTGGGCCCATTTTTGTCTATTATTGGCTATGCGGACCCAAGTTATCCCTGCTAATTTCCTAATATCATGGTCCCATCTCAGGTTCGGTCTTCTAGGTCTCTTAATTCCTCATGGGCACCATGCTGTAATGTGTCCTGCCCATTGGCATTTGAGGGATTTAACTTTGTGGATGACATCTATTAACTTGGTCTTTTGGACTTGGAAAAAAAAATAAAATGTCCTCGAAACAAACGAACATTTTTTTGAATTTACGAAAAATTTGGATATAATTCGACAGATTTTCTGGTTTATACGAAGTGGAAAGTAGCTTTTTAAAATTTTGGAGAAATCTGTACTTTCCAACTATTTCGACGAAAAATTGAAATAAGAAGCAAAGATGCTTCAGAACCTCAGTATTCAGAACAAATATCTTGAAGACATATACGTCACTGCTTCTAATGTCCGTTTTGAGTCCAGGTTTCGCATGCACTGGTCATGACACATTGGTTGAATGTAATAATTTCTTATATAATAACCTCTCATGGATCAGTAAAGTCTCCAATCTCAAGCAAGGAGCCATCGAAATGCAGTCGTATCATAGATGACGCGGTGGGTGCATCTTTAGATGAGCAGGGTCGGCTCTAGCCTAAACGACTCAACTGCTCAGAAATGTTTAGCTCTTATAACCCATTAAATGAAATAAGGAAAGGTATACGAATTTAATGAAAATATATTTTTTATTTATACAGGGTGTCCCAATATTCGGTGGAGATAGAACTACTACATATTTTTGGAATCAAAATAAGTTCATTGGACATAATTTACTTCCATACAAAAGTACTTTGTTTGTCCGTTAGAGTCGTCTACAACCTAACCCCCCTATATAAATTTCAGTACAAATATTTTTCTACTTTACCGACCAGTAGTTTTTTTGTCTCTTTTATAAAATATCGCCTCAACGCATAGTAAGCAGATTTACAAAATATACAGGAATCCAATATTCCCTGGACATAGAATAACCACTTATTTTTTTAATCAAAATATGTTAATTGACCACGATTTTGATCTATACAAAAGCGCCACGTTTGTTCGATAGAAGGCATGAATCAAAAATAAACCCGAACGTTAATTATTTTAAAACTTCTGAAGCTTATTGTCAAGTATCATTTATGATACTAATATAGAATAATGTAGTGTGTTATGCGCCTACATATCTTGAGGTGACAAGAAACATTTTTTGGAACTCAGATTCGGAAATTTTTTTTTTCTTCAAAAAGTATGCGCGGTGGTTTTTTTTTATAAGAGATAAAAAAATGTAGGAAATACTAGAAGGACCATTTTCCGAAAAAATATCGGTCATCGGTAGAATTGGAAAATAGTCTTTCTACAATTTATGTAGGGGTGAAAGAAATTCTCACCGTTCCCGTACTTAGTTCCCGATCCTTAAAGTCAAATGTTAAAGCTCTTAACAAAACATACGCACCCAAAATCTCATTCAAATCGGAATATCAATTCTTAAAATATCTTTAACAATGTTGTTAATTTTTTTTTGTTTGATGCCCTCTAACGGACAAACAAGGCATTTTTGTATAGAGATAAATTGTGACCAATGAACTTATTTTGACTCCAAAAATACGCAATAATTCTATGTCCACGGAATAATGGGACACACTGTATTATTTTGTAAAAGGTTTTAAGACTACTTAACATTTTTTTTTTTTGTTTTTGACAGTTACTTTTAAAGTGAGCGAAAGCATTTTTTTTTCTGTGTGAATGTATAATATTTAGTTGGTAAGAGGGGAATCAATCTTACATTTTATTTTATATATAAATTCTTATATTATGAGTATTGGTAGAATACATTCATATAGTAACATATATTTAAAAACATTTCTACAAAACTATAGGTTGTATATTATATTAGATATAAGTATAAAAAACAGGGTGGGCCACTGAAAACTTACAATGGCTATAATTTTTAAACCAAAAAAGATATCAAAAAAATAAAAAATACCGTTTCTATAATATCGAGGGGGAATACATATGACGTATTTTTTGAACCACCCCGACCTACCCCTAAGGCGCACCACTACTCACTTGAAAATCTTAAATAAACACCCCACTTGTGGCGCCTTTTTGGAAAGCCCATGAAAAATGCTAAACGATGATCATAAAGTTTTTAGGGTGAAATTGAAAAACTACCCCTTACACGAAAAATTAGGTGGACATTAATGAGAAAAGTTATTTTTTCAGCATAAGTTACAAATTGGGACCCAGCTAAATGAGGTTTTTTTCAAACTACCCCGACCCACCCCTAGGTGCCACCCCCTCACTTCTAACCTCAAGATAGTGATACCCCACTTGTGACACCTCGGGAAAGCGTATAAAAAATGCTGAACGACTGTCATAAAAAAGAACGAAAAAATAGAGCCTGAAAATAAAACAAAAATGTCAAAACGTGTCAAAATCAATAGATTGAATTATTTTTGTATGCATGAACCATTGCGAGAAAAAAAGCTGGTACAAAGAAATTTATTGTAACTCTTAATGAAGACCTCATACACTTTCAGCAAGATGGAGCCCCTTCGCATTATTCTATTGTCACAAGGCGGTGGTTGGATAAATATTATCCAAGGCAATGGATTGGCTGAAGGGGTCTAATCGAGTGGCCGCCAAGGTCACCTGATCTCACTCCTTTAGACTGTTCCCTGTGGGGTTACACTAAATCCATAGTCTACAAGACAAAACCAGGTCCGTTGCAAGAATTGCGGCAGAGGAGAACTGAAGCGTGTCGAAATATTCCGAGAGGTACTTTTCAAAAAGTGAGAGAAGGATTTGAAAATCGTTTGTATTTTTGTATGGAACAAAACGGCTGTCATTTTGAGCAATTATTAAAATAAATTATCATTTTAAATTTCTTTCAAGTTATCACACCTACATTTCTTGTCACTAACCAGTAATTAAGTTGAAGTCTGTATGACCATCGTTTAGCAATTTCATTTAGCTTTCCAAAGAAGTGTCACAAGTGGGATATCGCTATCTTGAGATTAGAAGTGAGGGGGTGTCACCTAGAGGTGGGTTGGGATGGTTTGAAAAATACTTCATTTGCGTCATTTAGCTGGGTCCCAATTTGTAATTTATGCTAAAAAAATCACCTTTTTCATTAATGTCCACCTAATTGTTCGTGTAAGGGTAGTTTTTCAATTTCACCCTAAAAACTTTATGATCATCATTTAGCATTTTTCATGAGCTTTCTAAAAAGACGCCACAAGTGGGGTGTTGCCATTTAAGATTTTCAAGTGAGTAGGGGTGTCTCCTAAGGGGTAGGTCGGGGTGGTTTAAAAAATACGTCATATGTATTCCCCCTCGATATTATAGAAACGGTATTTTTTATTTTTTTGATATCTTTTTTGGTTTATAAATTATAGCCGTTGTAAGTTTTCAGTGGCCCACCCTGTATATAAAATTTTTGACTTATATTACCCATTCTAGACGTTTCTTTAGATGATGGTATATAATGACACTATTCGTTTACCTTGATAATTAAAAAAAAAATGATTACCATATAACACGCAGTTTATGAGTTAATTTTTGTATTATGTTATTTGTTATTCTCTCCTCTCAGCGTCCGTCAAGAGCAATTGTATAAAAAAATAATGTAAATGTGTCTATTAGAAATAAATAGTAATATATCAATATTATTAATTTCATTTCATTTATTTAAGAAATATTTAAATATGCAAATTTGCAGCAGATTTAATTATACATACTTGATGGAAAATATGCATAATGACCCTGAAATATCTCATACCCACACAACAATAAAAGTTTACGTTGTATATTAT